AAAATATTGCCAGAAACTATGAACAATGAAAAAACTGAACCATTTTTTGTTCTGCCCGTGAAATTTATCTACTGAGACCGGAAAGTCGAAGATTTATTTTAAAAATAAATTATTTATTTACAACTAAATAATTGTCAAAAAAATTTTTCAAAAATGAAATTGTTTTTGGTTAACATGCAGAAAAATAATGTCAGTATTACAGGCTGTAAAATATAGTAGTATTAATTTTGAAAAAATAGTTACTTAGTAAAAAACAACAAACAAAAAAAGTGGTGAAATATGTTACAAACAATTTTCAGATTTTTGAAAAAACTGGTATTAAAGAGAAGCAAGTCAAAGAGAAAATTGTTTATAAAAAAACATTTTGGGTTATTTTATAAACACAGAAATTCAAGCATATAAAACCATACCACACAGTTAAAATTGTTTTTCAATTACGATTTTTATAAGCAGCAAAGACTGTAGATTGGAAAAGTTGGGAAAGTTCTTCAGTTCAATGGCCAGAGTGGAATTTTGCGTAATTACAAACACGTCATTTGGTAGATTTTTAATATACAAAGAAATGAAGGCATCGGCGATGTATACAAACTCATTTAACATTTTTGATACAAGTATTTGAATACTCTTCGAAGACACCTTCAACAAAATTAATGAAAGACGCTGGAAAATGAAGAGGCATAAAAAATTAATTACTGCGGTAGCTAATAGATGGAAATTTTATTTAAATAAAAGACATTTATCATCCAACAGAATTCGTTCAGTCTGCGCAACTAAAAGATACTCCCATTTTTGGGAATTTTTACTTCCCCAGCGTAAGCTAAGGGTGGCGACTAACTTTCATGTTTTCTGGACGTTTCATGACCCCTAAACCTTCCGATTAAAAAAAAACGACAAAATCTTGTAACACTATCTTATAATTAAGTTTGAAACGGTAGAATCGAATTCTCTTAGATGTTGTAAACGCTTTAAGGTAAACCGTTAATAATAACAATGTTTTAAACTCTAAACTAACTACGATCTGCATTATTTATTTCTATTGAATCGGTACATTTCTGACAAAAATATGATCACGGTATTTACGTTTAATTTATGCCTAACTGAAATTTATCTCTGAAAGTTGATTCGTAATTAACAGAAAACATTAAATTAGAAACGTGTGTTTTCATTTTCGATGATTTACAAAAAGTTTCATTTTCAGTGTAATTAATCAATTTCTATTTCCACTCCGTCACTTGGTTTTCGATGTGGAGGTTTTCCCGTTTCACCTGTTAGTTCGTAACTTGCACCAGTTTACTAATAAATGGCAACTAAAATCAGTCTGGATGTGTAGAGTTACAGTGGATTCGATTTCGTTATCATACATCCTATTAATTTGTTGCTTCGTCGGTCTCTGTAACGGTAAATAAACTACAAATTTGTTGTGTATGGGGAAATTCTTGGTAAATATGGTTCTAGTATCTATTTTGACGACAGATGTTTGCTTCCTGTGCAATAATTACAGAATTGTTTAAATGTTCGAAAAGAATGTGAACACGTGACCATGGAGTACCTAGTGTATGCCAGTAAAAGTCACAATAAAATTAATAGCCGCAAAATTATGGATCCATGATCTTCCTTATCTTATCTATAATTCAGCTCTATGGCGAATCAGATGAAGTACGTAGAAGACATTTAGATTGTGACACTTGTGATTTATAAAAACTTATTTTTTAATTACTTCTACTATATTTTAAAACAATTATTAGAAAACCTGTTACTTTTAAAAGACAAAAACAGTAAGATTAAAATTCAGACCCACTGCATGGTCAAACCGGTAACACAGTGTTCTTGACTTTCTCTTTTGACGGTGCTGAATTCTTTATAAAATACTTACTTAATCATACACAATGCAACACTTTCGAACACATTTTGAATAAACCCACACTCAGTTTCCTTTTTTTATTTATACTTTTAATGAAAAGTCTTCAAGACAAAAGAATCAACAAAAAAAATTAAGACCAAGTACAAAAAATAAATTCATCAAAAATTAAGCAATAAATCATCTCGTTTACAATATTAACAAAAAACGTAATAATTCAAACAATTTAAAATTTCAAAACTAGTGAATGTGGTTTCCATAGTGTGCAATACCCAATTATAAAATTTCACTATTATTGCAATTTTGTTACTGATACAATTCATTTTAATATCGTGAAAAGTAAATGGGTAATTAATATTTCGGAAGCAGCAGTAAAATTTGCATATTGCGAACATTTAAAAAAAAAGTTTGGGCTCGTCCGGGATTTGAACCCGGGACCTCCCGCACCCTAAGCGGAAATCATACCCCTAGACCAACGAGCCAGCTTGCTTACAAATTGACCAGTAATGTAATCGATTGGAAAGTATTAAAAGCTGAAAACTAAATAAGCTTATATTGATTTTTTTAAGCTGTTAACACAATTTTTAATCGAATTATTGATTAAATTCAAGTTTAATATTTCATTTCTGAGTTTACAAAAATAAAATTGACAATGAAAAGACAACAAGCCAAATAAGTAAATTTCTTATTTTTAAAATTCGCTCTTCTTTTAATTTTCATAACATAGTTGTGGAACATTCAATAATTGTTATAACCTTTGTTGTTTCAATGCGTTTCAGACATTCGTGTTAATTTAGTAACAAATTATTCTGTTTTTTTTTATGATCATAATTAATAGATATAAATTTTTGTCTGTCAGTATTCAACAGTAATAATGACGAAAATTTAAAACCAGCATACATTGTACATGTAGGTATTAATTAGTTTGTTATGTGAATATTGGACACGACGTAGCGCAAGTACTAGAGGCATTACTGACGCAAGCAAAAAAATAACTGCTCTATTAAATAATAAATTTGTAATACTCATGCAAATTTATCATAAAATTTGTTGTAATTATATTTTAAATTTTCAAACAAACAGCCGAACATTTATTATAGTCAATTAAAAATGTATCGTTAAGACAAAATTAGAAGCCTACCCAAGTTTTTTTAATGAATGAATAACCCCCTTACAATACTTCAAATATTTTATTTTGCCTCCATTGTAATTAACATTTTATAAGGCAACATTTTTATCCTATTCAACTCACTGCAAGAGACAACAAACCAGAAACCCCTACAACAAAAAAGGTAGAAATTATAATCAACGAAAACGTATTTAAATTTGAGGGGTTTAAAAGTAAACAAATGATATTTAGTTCAAATAAATTCCCCTTATTATTTTAAAATGAAAATTTTACTTGAAAAGTTGAGAAAATCTTTTTATAAATACGGTGATGTTTTGATAACGAGTAGGGAGTTACCTTAGTAACAGGTAGACCCCAGCTTATCACATTATAACTGGCGGATGGTTCACAACGAATTTGAGAATTTCCAGATGACGGATTAATTCAACATTAACAAGCAATTTATGTATTTTCAGATACATCGTTCCTTATAATTGGATTTTTTAAACCAAGAATAATTTCCGTTGTAACTTTTGCAATGAGAAATCGCACCATTAATAATTATGGAAAGTTTTTCTTACAATATAAACAGAATTTTAGACTGAAGCAGCACATCGCCTATTTTTTGTTAAAGACGTTGTATGTGAAAATAGGGGCATAGCTGAGCGAGTCTCAAGACACCATCTATTAAAATGTAAACAGAAAGAGAGTTGTTTGTGCGATGTTTATCTAGTCAGGCCTCCATTATGCATTCGAATGGACGGTAAAAAGCTCCCGACTAGCTTTCTTAGCTATGAGCTTTTTGTCGGTTTGATATAAAAATCAAAGATTATATCTGCTACGTGCCTGAAAACCTTTTTTACGCTACATTGAGTGAACTGGAGTTATCGGCATACAACGATCCAAAAAGGTTCAATTGTTAACCCAGAGATTAAAAAATAAATTGTATTTGTTTATCATAATTGAGAGAAATCATGAATTAATACTTTTTTATTTTTCACGGGCCGCTGAAAAGCGTTACGAGCAGTTTATAAAATAGACGTGCCTCAGCAATTATTCTCATTTCTGCAGAAACAGAATAAATGAAAATGAGTAACTCTAGAATAGTCCGTTATGTTTGTCTACTTTTTATTTAATTGTTAAACTATGAACCAGATAATAAAACATTTTCACATTTCAGGTTCATTAACTAATTAAATATGTCTTTATTACGCTACTGTCACAATTTTGGTTGCTCGTATTTTAAAAGTTCTTCAACCAATTGACCAAACAATGTTTGAGGCAAAATTCATTAATGCTACCTGTGTTACATTTTGATGGAAACAATTCTAGCAACAAACTACAGTTCCGGATGTTTTTTTCTTTAAAAAAAGTCGAAAGTAATAATATTCATATCTGTATAGTATAGATATATAGCAATGGTTTAAATATTAAGTACCCTTAATTAAGTATTTAACTCAATGCTTCTAGAAAATTCATAACGTCATCTCAAAAACTTGTTAAATAAATCTCTAATAAAATGCAGGCTCCGAGAATCGATGTCAACAAGTAGTTCTTGTCAAAAGTTGTCACTGAAACTCTGTATACGTACGATTATGTAAATGACATTTGTAGTCAATTAAATGTGCATACATTATTGATATTGTTATTATTTGTTTGATATTAAATATAATGTCTCATCTGTGGGTTGCAACCTGAAGGCATTTTTTTCCAACAAAACCAAGACAAAGTAAATTCCCTTTTCATAACAGAATATTGTATAGCATCCTAAGGCTTTGAATTATAAACGACCCTTGACATTATGTTCACTTATTGTTAGACACACTAAAGCTAAATTACGTTAAACTCATAGGTCTTTACCGAATAATTGAAATTTGAGTCAGGTAAACTGAACCAATAACATAAAATCTTTCAAGAGCTGTCACATACAGACGAAATCGAATTTCAAGTGCCCCAATTCATCATCAATAATCGACACCTCGACTTTTAGCCCAATTTACGTGACCTATCCCTCATAAACCTCTTTAAACTCACCCTTTTCGCATCGGTCGCCGCCCCTTCCGAGCGGACATAGGCATGCGGGTTCTTCATTTGAATTTCTAAGCACACAGCCGCCCCCGGGGCCGCAATCCAGGGGACACGGTCGTTCAGTCGAGATAGGCAAAGTGGCTCGCGGGGCACCCGATACTTCGGTTAGTTTTTGCTCCAAGCTGGGACCTTGCGTTGTGCTGGATGGGGAACCGTTGGTTAGATTACTGACAGCTTCCGTCGAAACGTTGGGGGAAACTAGTTCTAAAGCGTCGAAAACGGCGTCTTTCTGGTACAGGACGTCTTCTTCTTCTTGATTTGAAGATCTTATTTCTTCGGGAGTTGGGGGGGAGGCCGTTGAGTTAATTTCTGAAAGTAATCGAGATGTATTAGTCATTTTAAATGTAACATACATGTTACATAGATGGTCTAACACTACTTCAAAGTATAAGCTAATTTATTTCCCGATAGCCTCTGTTTGCCCAAGTTCAAATTTGTATATACAACATGGCGTAATCCTTTGTCTGTTATCCGAAAATTTATCACAGAACCTAGAATACAATTTTTTTAATTGTGCCATTATGCTGTCCAATGATTTAAATCTTCGTTTATTAAATGAGATTTATTTATTTGTTCCTCCAAAAGTTTACGGTACTATTTGAAAAAAAATCTTTTTTGGTATCTACGTTGTGTTGATTTGTAAAATTTTGATAACAATGGTATTAAAATTAATATATGTATTAATCATCAGCAAAAAGTTAGTGGCGTCCCTTCGAGATGTATTAAAATAAAACGTTACTTAAAAAATTCCTCGTACGGTACTTGGTGTGTTTTAGAGGAATTTCGACATTTAAAGTACGTGACCTCATAAGAGCATTGGTCGCAACGGACACATCGGTGGCTGCTATCGAATTTTAGCAAATGTGATTTCGCCCATACGCAATTCAGACGGATAAACCCACTCACATTTAGACAATATCCTGAAATAAAAAAAATTAAATTCTTTGCTGCTGACAATATTAAAGTTTCTGTCTCAAAGTGGGATTTGTGTAAACAAATAATGACATTTCTGGATTATTTACACTGAGAACTTTGATGAAGTGACATGTAATAAACTAGTAAAGTGGGTAAGTAGATTAAAATAAAAATATCACTCGGTGTAGTTCGAAAATGTCGGACTTCGGTGACACAGTTGCTAATTAAACATACGTTCCCTTTCGCATTGTAGAAAAGTTGTTCTTTTTTTCACAGACACAGTAGCATTATTCGGTACAAATTTTCACTGAGAAACTCTATACGAGAAGATTAAATGTGGTGAATTACAAAGGGTGTAAGCAGACCTTTATTCGGTTGTATAACTTCTGTGCTTAATACATGACATTTCCTATTGTATATTCATTAGATGTACATACTGTGCTTTAAACAGTTCAGATCAATAGTTCTTATAAGAAATACATGCTTTGAAAATGCGTGCTTTATTCTGAATAATATTACCATAAATAGTTATTTAACGAATGCTATGAAAAACAAAGTATCCAGATTGTTAACTAGTCATTAACTAACGTGTTGGTTACAATATTTTTTTGATGATCGAAATCTTTAAAAATTAAAAAATTAAAAATGAAAGAACATTATGCAACCAAATATACATTTTATATCATTCAAATTTCTGTGTTCCATTCTTAGATCATATGTTGCATTCTCCCATTTCAAAGTATGAAATTGACAGACAGGCGGAAGGGAAAAAATTACACATTTTAAAGACGATTACTAAAAAATAAGAAAAATACAACTTCAGTAAGCCAATAATCCTAACATGAGTGTGATCTTATAACTTTTATGAAAATTTATGGTAAGGTTTATAATTGTACAGTTACTGAAAGTGAAGCGAGGTTGCAATGAATTATCAGCAGGCCTATGATATTCTGAATTTAAATTCAGGTCTATAGCTTGATTTTTGATAAAATACGTCTGTATTTGTGATGATTAAATGAATCTGTGTTGAGTTTTCACCCTAGACATCCAGATCTTTGGAAGAAAAAATCAAAACAGTGTAACATTTTGCAACTAAACTGTAAAACGAAATACTCTGAAATCTTGCAATTTTAAGGTTATCGTAATCATGGTAAATCGTTAATCAAAATTTATTCATTTATCCTCTCCCAAAAAATTGATGACGTTATCTCAAAATTAATAAATCCACTTTGAAATATGCAAAATATTATGACAAATTCGACCAATTTTTTTGTACGTAAAACCTATCCTTCTTCCTTGCACTCAAGCCATCCTTCGACATGTCGCTTAATTTCTGCGAAATCCATACCAGAAGCAGAAGACCGCCGAAAACAATGTCCAAAGCGGTTGCTCTACTTTCAAAAATGTTGCTTTTCGAAAATATATTGATTCAAGAAGGCTGTGTTGAACATCTATTAATTGTTTTTTTCTAGAAAATGAAGAATGGGTTATGTAGAGTATGAAATTTAATACCGTCTTTTTTCGTTTTCTACAATCGTAAATATTCTTAAATAGGGGTATTTAGTTTGCATATATTATGTTGCTTATTTTTTCCGCCCCTTTAACAAATGAACTAAAATGGACTAAAAAGAAAAAAATTAACTGCTACATTGTGATCAATATAATTTGTGATAACAATCCCTGACAAAATAACTACTGGACTGATTGATTCATACTTTTACAGGAGCCTCAAATTCCAAATTAATGGCACAAAACAGAATCTCACTTTTGACAGGAGCCAGACGAAAAAAAAAATTTTAATAAACAAAATTTTGCGGCCAAACTTTTAGGCGAGACTACGTAGGCTGTCATGCTGGAGGCAGGATTTTATAACATATCATCCAGTCTCAGTAAAAAAATGTGCAAAATATAGTTAATAGTAGACACATAAAAACCTTAGCACGGCAGAAAATACTAAAATGTTATACATTTCCTGAGTAAACATTAAAATTCGACGTGCTTTACTGAATAAAACAAGTAAAAACCCTGTCTGTATCTGAATCCAATGAACAGGGCAACTGAATTTTAAACGAAAAATGTTTGTTGCAACATTTGAAATGGTGAGACGTGTATAAATAGAAATGTATAAATAAATATTATAATATACTTTTGAATTTACTTTTACATGTGCTTCGGCACATAAGCTAAATGGGCATATTGCTGGGAAAGAAACTGTGGCAATTACTCATATAATTTTAATTTAAATGTAACAAATGTGAATTACTAATACTCTTTGATAATAAATTAGAGTAATATTGAAGTTAGTCTATCAATTAATTCAAGAGTATTTTATTTTGGACCTTGTTCTTGTTTTGATGTTCTGGCCAATTTGGAATTTGAGGTTCCTATAATTGAATAGACAAATATATGTTCAGATCCAATTGTTTTCTCAAGAATTAGGATCACAAGTTATATTGATCCTAGGCTACACGTCAGTTGTTATTAAACTGTCCAAACAAATATACCTAAATAATGTCCCTAACTCGAGCTTCCTTTATTCTGCCCCCAGTTATAGCTGTCTTAAACAGAGCTCGCTTGCAGAATCGTCTAAAATTGCTTATGGAAGACACGCAAGAAACACAATAGGTTGCCTGTTAGAAATTACTAGAAAAAATTCTGTCATCTTTTCCAGTATTACAATTATGTAGCAGCAAATGTCGATACGAATTTAAATCGTGAATTTGGATCTCATTTTTAAATCAACACATTATTGTTTTGTCTGATTATAATTTGTGTAGACCACGATAACATAGAATTACTTTTATTGAAAACAACGGACAAAAATATAAATCAATTTTACGTTTTTTATGAACAGTTTTACCAATTTTATTTATTGATATAGAAAGCAATTTTAAACAATTTCTGCTCCATATGTCATTCAAACTGAATATAATTCTCGACAGCCTGAAACTGTATATAATTTAAACGTTATTTATTTATTAAGGAGTACCTCCATCGCAGTAAAATCATGCATAATTAATTAAGGGAATGTTAATATTCCTTTTGAAGTTATTTTTCGATGTAACTCTGTTTCATTACTGTATGTATTTGATAGTACAGAAAGTCTAAGAGGAAAACATTATACGTTTTATGACGGCTTAATAGCAAAGGACAGTCAACCACCTCCATATACAGAGTACGAAGAAATATAGCCATTCTTCAATCCCAAAGTGTGCGTATTCATAATCTTTTTCTATTTTTTTCGTAACTATGTGGATGACACTTTTGCCCCATATTTATATTAAAGCTGTTAATAGTAGAAATTTGTGTCTACCAGTCTTAGCAATTTCATGAGTATAAGGTGAAATGGAGGCCAAATAATCTTAAGAGTATCAACCAACAAATCTTTAAAATTCGTATGAATTAAACAGAATATTTGATATTACTTATATTTTTCCACTAACTTCTTTGTTGTCTCTCAGTAACTTTTCTACAGTGTTTTCCTCTGACCACAACCGCGCTGTATTTTGTTCGCCAAAAAGTCCGTAATTTAAAACCGTTTTTCAGCCCACAGAATATCACTAAGCTTATAAAAGCTTAATTATTCGTGCATTGAAAATAAAAATGCAAAGTGATAAAATACCCATGCAAAGCGTTGTTTCCGGATGGATTTTTGGGTGCTCGCAAGCGCAGAAGCAATAAATATGCTGTGTGTTTTGTGTTCATGTTTATGCAAAGCCGATCACACCATGCGAAAAAATAAACGCAACGCAACACAGAGGTAGATGGTAGCGATTTTTTATTTAAACGATTTCACTGCTGGAAGTATGTTATCTTGTTGGCTGATTTTTCAAGAACTGTAGACTGCGTGGGGTTTTCACCAGGCCTGGAATCGTGCAATAAAATCTCCAAAACCATTACTCATACACACGTGAACATTTATCTAAAAACACTGCAATTTCGTCGCACGAAGACCAAATCAGCACCACATTCGCAATGTAAAATCAGCACTGGCATGTTATGTAAATGATTCCTCAGTGAAGTGGCGGAAAAATAACCGAGGAAAACATGCAAACAGAGTTTATCACTTTCGAAAAGCTAATTTCATTTACACTTTATGATAATATTTTGATGTTTTCATTTTGGGAAATTTAGAGTGCAATCTGGACAAATATTCATGGGTATATTTTACATATAGATACATATATGAAATATAAATTAATTAGGTACCTGTTTTTAATTTAAGTAAAAATAGATTTATTTTATAATGCGTTCATTTGCAATTGTAACTGTAAGCCCTCATTTTGAAGTTTTTTAATAATAAAAATATTACAGAAGCTTTTATTTATTCATAAATATATACGTATATATCATCAGTTACTGTGTCTTTAATATAAAATTAAAATGAAAAAAGG